AAGAAATGTTAACTGATTTTTCACTAAGTCAATCCCAAGATGTTACATTGCATGACCTCATTTTTATAATATTTGTGATATAACAAAATGATCAAATGAAGAACAGACTAGTGGGTGCCATGGGTGAGGGATGGGGGACAGGTGGGAAAGCAGTAAGTAAGGCTACCAAAATGGGACCAGTGTTGATGAGCCATCCGACTAAAATCACACTGGATCATGGTCAACATCCCAACCGGGCTACTATGCTGTTGTTTTGTAAGAGGTTACCCTTGGAAGAAACTACACAAAGGGCATGTGGGATTTCCTGTGTTTTTTTCCTTACCACTATATCTATATTGTTGGATATATATATAATTATCTCAAAATATCAAGTTTATTTTTAAATTGATGTTGAAGAGAATATATAATAAAAGAGCAATTTAGGAACCATTATGTTTAACAAAGCAGAACGCAAAATTATGATTGAAGAAGACAAAAGGTAAAAGGATAAATACTTCTCTTGCAAGATTAGAAAAAAGGAGGGAATCAATGAAGATAAAAGCTAAATGTTAAACAGAAAACACAAACAACTAAAATAATATAAAAAGGATAAATAAATCCAAAATCTAGTTATATGAAGATGTCAAAAAAATAAAGTGATTAGAAACCTAGTAAGCACAAAAGAGGACATGAAAGACATTAAGGCCAAGGGGAACAAAAAGACCTAAGTACAGATGAGAATATAATTTTAAAATTATAAAATAAAAGGAAACTACAAATTCAACTAAAATGTATGCTAACAAATCTGAAAGCTAAAAAAAAAAAAAAAAAAAAATAGGTAATTGGCCAGCAAAATACGAATGATAGAAACAGTTCCAAAAAGAGTTGAATAGGTTGATTATCACAGAAGACACTGGAAAAAGGTAATTAAGGGTCTATCCACTGGAAAAGACATCATGACCAGATGGGCTGCACAGCTGAGTTGTATCTGACTTTTAAAGAACACATAATTTCTAAGGGTAATTAAAATATTCCATGCCAGAAAAACAGAAGGCGCATCCTGCAGCACATTTTACACAGTCTTGAATCCTTAAACCTGATGAAAACAGTATTTTAAAAAATGATCCGGGCCTCCCTTACAAATACTGAAACAACACTGTAAACAAAATACTGACAAACAGAATCTAGCAATGGACCAATTACTGAAAGAACAGGAAGCTCATTTCAGTAACGTTATGAGTATTTTCAAAACTGGAAAATCTATCAACATAATTCACAGCAGCAAAAATGTAAGTGGAAGAAACCCACTTGATCCATGGATAATGAAGAAGACATTTGATGAAATGCAGTAACAATGCCCCCTTTAATGATCTCTATGTAAATCTAGATTGAAGTAAAACGGATTATTTAACAATCACCAACAGCAAGTGTGGAGAAACACAGAAAACACTGTCATTTAAATCAGGTTTAGGCAGAGAAGCCACCCAGCACCATTTTCCCTAACCCTGTCTTTGAGTTGCTGACAAGTGCAGCATGACAATGAAATAACTGAGGTGACCACCAGAAAGAGACAAAACCAAATACAATTTCACAGAACTAAAAAGAGAACTTGGTATGATGGATATGAGCTAAATATGAGAAAAAATATTTTTTATATTTCTAGCAAGCATCATTTAGGAATGGAAAGGGAAAAAAATCTGGTCATAACAGGAATGAAAATGTCAATTCCTGAGAAATAAATGCATCAATGAAAGCATAGGCTAGATGAGAAGACAAGAATGAGCTTAACGGAAAGATAAAACAAGATCTAGGGAAAAAAAACTCACAATTTCTTAGGTAAAAGGAATTATATAATTACAAAAATTAAAATGTAAACAAGTGTAATTCTAATAGATATTTCACACAAATAGAGTTTATGTGAAAAATAACTAAAATGCTCTTAAGATGTGCATTTAGGAGAACAGTTAAGACATTTTTCAAACACTAATGAAATCAAGATTTTGATACAGAAAGAGATGCTAAGAATAGAGAATCCATAAATAGATACTAATATATAAAACATTTGATAGCTGACAAAGATGCTAGTTTCACTGACAGGGGAAAAATTAGGGATTATTTCATAAGCTATTTTAGTACAACTGGTTGGCCATCTCTAAGAAAGCAATCTCAACCAAGACTGCAAATCCAGATACTACAAGGAAAAAGCTAAATTTGCATATTTTGAAAGATTTAATAATTATACATATAATTTGTAAACTCAATACCTAGTGCCAGCGCTCTCTACAATACCAGCACTTCATATTAAAGTGATGGTTGACACACAGCAGTCCCCTTTCTAGCGCAGCTCCCTACTAAAGTGCCTGGGCAGACAGCAGAGGATGGACAATCTGAGTGTTTGGGTCTGCATATTCAGGTGTGACACCCAGAAGATTCCTGGCTTTGGCCTGGCCCGGACCTGGCTGTTGCCACCATTTGAGAAGTTAACCAGAAGATGGAAAATTTCTTTACTCTCATTCTCTCTTTGTCACTGTGCCTTTCAAATCAATAAACAAAGCTTTAAAAAAAAAATCAATGCAGGTGCCGGCATTGTGGTCGAGCAGGTAAAACTGATACCTGTGACACTGGCATCCTAGTTCATGTCTCAGCTGTCCCAATTTCAATGTAGCTCAGTGCTAATGGCCTGAGAACAGCAGAGCAAAGAATGGCCGAGGTTTTTGAACTTCTGCCACCCAAGCAGCCTGGCTCAATCCTGGCTGTTACAGCCATCTGGGACATGAACCAGCAGAGAAAAAAATCACTCTTTCCCTTCCTCTCTCTCTCATTCTCTCTCTTTCTCTGCCTCTCTCAATCTTTCTTTCTCTCTCTCTCTCTCTCTATATATATATATATAATTTTTAAAATCCTTAAAATAGTCAATGACTACAGATTAGACAAAGATACTTGCAGCAAAGATGACACCAAAGGAACAATATCTAAAATACATAGATATTATAAATAAAAAATATATAAAACCATAGGAAAATTGGAGGATTATAAATAAACAATTGAAAATAATAAATTTAATTGGAAATAAAATGAAATAATACTGAAATCCACTAATAGCATGCAGCTACATTCATTAGGTTGTTGACTTTAAAAATTATATTATCCATTGCTCGTAGGGGTATAAAGGAAAGAAGGATTCATAATATATGCAAAGGTGAAATATAACAGCCTATTTCCATAAATCCATTCAACATCTGGTAGCATATATTTTTATAGGTAAATATCTGTCTATATATCTATACATTTACATCTTTATGCATATGTAAATAATTTAAAGCAGCAATGCATAAAGACATATGCACAATGACATTTATTTCAGTAGTGACTGTATTGAAAGAAATCTGTAAGGAACGTAAATGTTCATTAATTATAGGAAAGAATGGAAAAATTATTTCACATGCATGAAATATGCTGCAGAATAAAAACTATACCAATAGTTATTTATATTATAAACTTCCAAATGATACTTTGGGTGAAAATAGCAAGCTCTAACACTGCATATACAGGGTTCTAGCCAAAACAGTGAACATTCCAAAATCATGTGTGCATGTTTAAGGTTGAACCTATTCAAATAGGGGGAAAAATGGCAGTTTGAAAGCTTCACAACCTTGTTGGGTCACATTCAGGGATGATATAGTGTCACGACTGGGAGCCAAAACAAAGAACAAAGAATCACTATATATTTTTTTAGAAAGACAAAAAATAAATCCAGTCATCATGTTTATGTATTCATACATGTGTATAAACATAGAAATGAAACTTACAAAAGATACAGGAAACAACATTAATATGTAATATGGTATCTCTTTACTAAAAAAGAAAGACAATAGGCAAAATTCTCTCTTGGGCTAAGAGTAAGGGTGATGTTTGCATTCTGCTTTAATGTATCTCTGTTTTCTATAATGCAAATTGTTAGTTTTGTAATAATGAAATAGAATCAATAAATGTTACTTTAAAAACATTACACTGAATAATTGAGCTCATTTTGGAAAACCAAGGGAGGTAAATAGGGTTAAATACCCCTTTCCCTTAGGAGCCGTCCAAGTAAAAAACATGAAATCAGGATCTATTGCCTCTCACCCAGCACAGTTACCTAAGGCAACAGACTAAGTGGCTATTTCACCGAGCTATTTGAAACAGCAAATGGAACAGCCAACCCCCTTTCTAATACTTTAATGAATTAAGTAAATCAGAAAGCCATTTACACCACTCTCAATTATCCAAAGATCCGCTGAGCTCTTTACTTCCTGCTCCCTTCCTCTGGCTTGTGGCCATTTCACTGCTCAGAAACAGTTCTAAAATGGGGGCCAGGGAAAGGGGAAAGAGATGAAATTAATTCAGTCGATTCACCCTCTCATTAGTAACTCCAATAAAAGGTTTGATAAGTGAGATGGTCACAATTCATGGTTCAAATGAGGGTTCTGGGACACAGGATAATTTCATTTAAGTCAACTTGCCTTCAGAGAAATACAATTTGCTTGCAGTATTCTTTCATGGATTTGATGCTTGCTATTTTTAAAAAGTCAGAACTTGTTATAAGGTGATATTTTTCTCTCCTCACTTTAATTTGCACCTGAAGGAAAAACTCACAGAAAAGCAAGCACATGCCCTTCGGTGTGGAAAACTAAATCCTCCGTGGAGAATCACAATGTGAAGACTGTAGAGCGAAGGGATGCTTTCTCTCACCCGCACGCTCTTAAGACAAACTTCAGGAAGGCATCAACTGTGCAAAGTAGCATGCCCCAGCCACACAATCACCATCACAAAGATGATTGGACAAAAAGGATATCTCCCTGTTTCACTGGATATTTAGGAGACCAGTCCCTCAGGGAAGCCCAAAAACAAAGCAGCACAAGCCCAACACGGCCATAGCACTGTTTATCATCTTGTTATCAAATGAGCAAAAACAGTCCAAATAAATAGCAGTGAAATAAAGGAGAAAAAATCAAAATGGCAAAAAAAAAAAGTTCTCTTACTTGAAGACAACGATAGCTCCGGGAGATGGAGGACAGGCCAAGAGAAAGATCTGCAATTGAAGAAGAAATAAGAGTGGTTAGCAAGAGATACGCAAGACATAGACAATGTTACTTTAATAATAATAACAATAACCAAAAAATAATAACAACAATAAAATAACCAGCCCTATAACACAATGTAATATAAAAAAGTAGAGGCAAGCAAGTGTGGCTTTTCCAAACTACATGTTCATTTTTTGCACATGCATGCATGCATGTGTGTATGTGTATTTGTGTATGAGAGAGAGACAGAAACAGAGATGAAGAATGATCAGACTCAATTTTCCAATGCTTCAGCTTCAATAATATACAAGTAACCAGTGTTTGAAGCTTTAAACCCAGGGCAGGTAAAAACAGATTCTGAGCATAGAACATGCACACACACACATGCCATTCTGGTTTGCCTACCATGGGGTAAGGTGGATTAATCAAAACCCAGCATTGCCAAATTAAGCAAATAAAACTACAGGATTCCAGTTAAATTCAAATTCCAGATAAACAATGAATAATATTTTAGCATGTTCTAGACATCACATGAAACACATTTGTACTAAAACATTATTCATTTTCTGAAATTCAAATTTATCTGGCAATCCTATGAAACTGCCACTCTGATTCTTTTGTTGGTAAGCATGCCTAGGTGATTTTTACACTTCCATTCTCCTCCCAAGTCAAATGAAACAAAATGATCTCTGTACTTCTAAGAGACAAATCAGTACTTGGCTACTTGGTATAACCTAGGTCTGAGTTACAGCCTTGAAAAGCTATAGCAGTGGCAGTGTGAGCTTTACGCATGTAATGGTTCTCAACACGACAGATGCCCCCCTGCCCCGCCCCGCAAATCATCATCATAATCATCATCACCATTATCCCTGGCAAATTTTGTCCGGTATATAAATCCCTGGGTTCCCTCGTTGGGAATTCTGATTTCACAAGTCTGGAACATCAGGAATCTGCATGTTTAACAAATGTTAGAGGTGATTCCTGGTAGCTTGTAGGTTGAATACGTAACTAGGGACTACACTACTACAGGGGTCACAGAATTCAGTAGAACTAAGACTTGACAGGAGGACGAAACTCACATGTAGAGTTTCTTCATCTACAGTGATTTAATGACATGTGTCCTGATCTTGTCAAGCTCTCTAAACAATATAGAGGACTTCACTGTGGATCTTATTGCCTTTGTCATGCATATGTTCTTTACCATTTGGCTCATTAGTCCTCTCAGAGTCTCTAAGTGTACTATATGGAAAATCACCAAGAACAGAGCTTGTTTTAATCTTTGCCAAGAGGAGGAGAAAGAAGGATGGAAAAGAGAAAGGGCCTCTTAGAACAAGGCCAGAAGCCATCACCTGCACAATACTTCATCAAAGAACCTCTCCAAGGAAACTCCATCGAGAAGTGCCTTTTCCCTGTGGATCAATTTGATTAAAAGTACAGAACCAATGGAAAATGACAAGTCTACAGTCCTTAATTGGCAACTCTCAAATCTAGAAAGCTCTAAAAACTTAATTTTCTTTTCAAAGCTAAAGTAGTAGCAGCTGAAATAAATGTATTTATACTCTATTCCACATAAGCGGATATTTATATTTTTCCTAAAAATAATAATTCATTTGATTATTGGGGTGCTGCTTCTCTAGACCCCACTGGAAGTATATGGAAATTACCTATCATACAAAAAATAATTTCTTAAATAATTCTGACCTGAATGGTTTTTGATAAGGATTGTAGACTTGGAATTTCAATTATGCAAATATTAACTTAGCCCCACTCCCCACCCCACCACTAAGGAGCAGTCCAAGGAAGAAATAAAGCAAGCTAGCATTCTTTACCCTTGATCCATTTGGGAAGTTACTCACCTTAGGCACAGGACCAAGTTGGAGGCTGCACACAGTTACCCAGCAGCAGGCCCTCCTAGGCTACACTCAGAAGCTATAATATATTGAGAGGACACAGGGGACCCAACCACCTCAGAAAATTCCTTATAACCCTAGGGTCAACAAAGAACCACACCAGTAGCCTTTCTGAGCCTCTGGAATACCCAAGTCTCTTTCAACATGCTAAAGAGAGAAGTAAAAATCCAATACTAAACCTTACAGCTAACTCTTAATTTCTATATCCACACATAAGATAAGTAGATTCTTAAAAACCGATTTCCCCCTAAACCTTCATGTAGCTGCTTCCTACCTTCCTTATATCAAAAGCACGAAACTCACCAAAAGTAACAAGCAAGTTAACTGTATTATCATCCTCATCAGTCAGATCCAACTTCTCTCCAGGCAGCTAATCCAGCGTCGAGTCTAACTGAGTTTATCCATAGTTACTTTTATATGGTCAAGTCATTCAGATCAGCACATTGGCCTTATTCCCATTACCAACATAGAGAATTTTTTTTCAAGAAATATTCAAACTAGATACATTGTAGAACAGATTTGAAGACCCCAAATTCGTCATGTTCCCTTTCCAGTAAAAACAGCCTTTTTTATCTACTGTAGAGATGTATGACATTGAACCTCTCCACTCTGTCATGCTAGAGTCACATCTGTCGTCACCATTAGCCAGTAGAGCCTTCTGAAAAAGAAACTTTAATTCTGAGCTTGATTAACAGACCCAAAGGCCTTAGCATAAGTATCCCTGATTTTTTGCCTTGGCTGGCTTCTAAACACCTCCAAAGTTTGGTACTATTTGTCTCATACTAACAGACAAAAAGCTAACCTTTACTTTTGGTTAAAATAGCGTGAGAATAGGCGATACTCAGAAGTGACAATAAGAAAGGCAGGAAGATTAACATGATATGTTGGGGCTCACACAGCATAGCAGTGTCACAAGTTAATCCATCGCCTACACCAGCATCCCATCTAGCTCCTTGCTAATGGCCCAGGAAAGAAGCAGAAGATGGTCCAGGTGTTCCAGTCCCCGCACCCAAGTTGGAGACCTGGATGAGACTGCTAGCTTTTGGCTCATGGCTCCCAGCTTTAGCTTCCAAATAAATCAATTAATCATTAAAATCCAAAGTTGGCACATTAAAGTTAGATGATATCTCAATACATCCCAAACCAAATTTGAAACTTGGCATTTGTACAGAAATCTTTGTATCCTGGCTCCTGAAGTTAAGCCTGTGAGCCAGCAGTGACTGGGAGGTAACCCCGTTCTATAGATGAAGAAACCAAAGGCAAACGGTTCCAGAAAGCTTTTCTGATGAGATCCCAGATCTCATAATTCCTAGTTAAATATACTTTCCATCCAAAGCCAGCCATGGATCAGGCCGTTGGGGGGCTCCTCATCCCTATATTCTAACCCTTCTCAAGATTAACATAGTACACAGAGTCACTTCAATGGTCCCACATCCAAGCCACCAAATGACTCATAAGAACTACTCTCTACAATACAACATGTATCAAAACACAAGAGCTACAGAACTGCAAATCAGATTTACATAGTCAAATTTCAGAGTCCAACATTCCCAAATGACAGACTTGTTTTGGCTACAACCTGTCTTAGTCTGTCTCTAGTGTGCATTTGCAATCCATAAACCCTTACAGAGCTCATGTCTTTGGGTGGATATTTTGGTGTAGCAAGAGAAGCCACTACTTAGGATGTACACATCCCTTGTTGGAATAAGTTCAAGTCTCAGTTACTCCACTTTCAACCCACTGAAGTGTTTAGGCTCCCACTACTCCTGTGGGAGGCACAGATGCATTCAGTTCCAGGTCCCTGGCTTCAGCCTGGTCCCAAATCTCCCTCCCCTCTCTTCCTTGCAAATAAACACATAAATCTTCAAGAAAAAAAAAAAACACTGAGTCTTTTTTTGGTATGTTTATTGTCTAGTCATATTTTTCCTTATATGATATGACCATCTGTACACTTCATCTATCTTTCAACTTGTGTGTTCGTTTTATTGAGTTGTAAGACTTATTTATAGATTAGTAACATTTAATAAGACTGATATTTATCACAAATATTTTTACAAAGCTGTCACTGCTGTAGGTTTTTGATGTAATAATTGTTTTATCTTTATGTAACTATATATAGATTAACCATATCTTTTATGTGTTCCAGCTTGAATATCAAACTCAGTACATCTGTTACAGCCCTGGATTTACAGTCACTCATCATATTCCTAATATTTTTGTAATTCTAATTTTTTTAACATTTATATTTATATTCCTGACACTAAGAAGCAATGCCATTGCTTATTCTAAGGAAGCTTCCACAATTATCTTTCCCCCTTTCTTCTGTAGCTCTTACATATTCTTCAGAGACAAAATTAGGCATTATTTCCCCAAGACACCTTGCCTGTACTCCAAAGTTAAATGCCCAGCCTCAGTCTCCTAAACCTTTTGTAGCTTACATCTTTCTGGGAATTTATTATTTTGTGACGATTAGAAGCTTACAGAGAGTCTTCCTTCAAGAGTTTAAGTAAAACGGAAATAAGAATTTCTACTAAGTAGTAAGGTATAACATGCAAGGATTGAAAGATCAGACTGTAACTTGCTTGAGTGATGCCTAAAGAAGGAGTGATGCTGACCAAGCAGACATGGAATGAATAAAGTCACAAAGTCACATTTGATAATGTCCAACCCGGCAGTGTTCAGCCCGACGCTCATCAATACCATGTTCCCAGGATGCAGACAATCATTCTTACTCACAGGACTGTAGCAGAGTCAATACCACTGCAGCTTGTTAGAGGTGCAGTCCTTAGGGGCCAGCACTATGGTACAGTTTGTTGTGGCACAGTGGCTAAAGCCCCCACCTGTAGTGCAAGCATGCCATATGAGTACCGAGTTGAATCCTTGCTACTCCACTTCTGACCCGACTCCCTGCTTAAAAAAGAAAAAAGCACCTGGGAAGGCAGTAAAAGATGATCCAGAAACTTGTGCCCCTGGACCCATATGGAAGACCCAGAAGAAACTCCTGGCTCCTGGCTCTTGACTTTGGCTCTGGCCTGGCCTGGCCTGGCCCAGCTCCAGCTGTTATAACCATTTGTGGAGTCAACCAGCAGATAGAAGATCTCTCTCTCTCTCTCTCTCTCTCTCTCTCTCTCTCTCTCTCTCTCTCTCTCTCCTTCCCTATAATTTTGAATGAGCCATTTAAAAAAAAATACAAGTTTTAGAGTCAACACAGCCTTGGATCCACATGCTAGCTATGCTATTTACCATCAGTGGGCCGTTTGAATAAGAGATTAAAGGAACTGTAATCTGTACAATAGGCACACACATAAAAATAGTACTTATGATTCAAGGTCCTGGAGAGGATCAAATGTAATAAGGCAAGCAAAGCATTTGGCACAATGTGTAACACATTAACTCGCATTCAACACACAACAGCTATAATTATTCTGCTTCTAACACAAAATCCATCTTTCCATATCAGCTAAATCAGCAACCCCTCATTTTAAACTATGAATTTATCTAATCTCATTTTTTCTAATTCCATGCTTGCATAATAATATTCTGATATACACATTTAATATTTTTTTGTTCATCTAAAAGGCAGAGTGATGATGATAATGGGTCCAGAGTTATGGCTTAACAGGTTAGGCCACCACCTGTGATACTGGCCTCCCAGATGGGCACAGGTTCAAACCTCAGCTTTTCTACTTCTGATACAACTCCTCCCTGATATACCTGGAAAGGCAGTAGAAGATGATGGTCCAAGTTTTTGGACCTCTGCCACCAAACCAAGATGAAGCTCCTGGCTCTGGCTTCAGCCTAGCTGAGTCCTGGCAGCTACAGCCATTCGGAAAGTGAACCAGCAGATGGAAGTTCTCTCTCTCTTTCTGTAACTCATCTTTAAAATAAATGAAAATAACCTTTAAAAAAAAAGAAAGGCAGAATTATAGAGACAAAGAGAGAGATACAGATCTTCAATCTACTGGATCAAGCCCCAAATAGCCACATAGGCTAGGGCTGAGCCAGGCTGAAGTCAAGAGCCCATAACATCACTCTGATCTCTCCTGTGGGTAGCAAGGACCCAACGGACCATTCTCTGTTGCCTCTCCAGACACATTAGCAGAGAGCTGAATGCAAAGCAGAGTAGCCAAGAATCAAACCCCACCTCCCATATGCAATGTTGGAGCTTCTTGTTGAGGCTTAATACTCTTTGCCACGAGGATAGCCCTCTTAGCCTTTTGCATTCATTAATTCATCTGGGTACATATATATTTTAAAATGAAGCTTTAACAGAAAAGGAATAGCAATAGACATTGCTGGCATTTGAGGATTGAATTAACACAAGAAATCTCACTGTCATCATCTGTTGGCCTTTCAAATAAATAATGCTATGACTTTTAAGAAATGTCTACCATTATATTTTTGAATCATATCAAACTTTATGTATTTGAAAGGCCAAATTACAGAAAGACAGAGGGAAAGATAGAGAGTCAATGTCCCGTGAGCTGCTCAACTCCCCAAAGAGCCATAATAGAAGCAGTTGGGTGAGGTCAAAGCCAGGAGCCCAGGAATCCATACATTCACAGCAGCAGCCCAAGTATGTGGGCCAACATCTACTGTTCCCAGATGCATGAGCAGGAAGCTCGACTGGAGAGGAGCAGCCAAGACTCCAACCAATGATCCCATGTGAGAAGCTGACATCTCAGACAGTGGCTTAACACACTGTGCCACAATACTCTCCTTCTCATTCTGGTCTATTTATTATTCAGCTTCCCTTGTCCAGCAGTTGTTTACAGGGCGTGAATACTTATGTTCAGTCTCCTCATCTAATGAATGGGGATTACAAAGCACTATCTCCTCATAGATTTGAGAATTAATTGCTTGCAGTACTTAAATTTCATGCATGGCACATTATACAAAATAAAAAAAAATCACCATCTATAGCATTACCCTGACTGGATGTTCTTTGTCTTCTGTCACTGCAAATTCTAAGTTGGTGGCAAGCTTTATTTCTTCCATAAAGCCTTCCCTAATAACTCAAAACAACACCTACATGTTTATTCTCTTATGGCCTGCAGAATTTATTACAAGCATGCATTCTGTTTAATGCCCTAAATGCTTTCTGTTGGGCATGCTGTTATAATAGATTGAGAGTTAGTATCTAACAATCATTCTTTTCTGACAAATTGCAATTGCTGGGCCCAGTGCAGTAGCCTAGTAAAGTCCTCGCCTTAATACGCCAGGATGCCACATGGGTGCCAGTTCATGTCCTGGATGCTCCACTTCCCATCCAGCTCTCTGTGGCCTGGGAAAGCAATAGAGGATGGTCTAAAGCCTTGGGACCCTGCACCTGCGTGTGGGAGACCTGGAAGAAGTTTTTGGTTCCTGGCTTCTGATTAGCTCAGCTCTGGTCGTTGTGGCCACTTGGGGAGTGAACCAGCAGATGAAAGATCTCTTTGTCTCTTCTTCTCTCTGTATATCTACCTTTCCATTAAGCAAAAAAACTTTTCAAAAATTACCATTCAGATTGGACTATGCTGCAGCATCAGCTGACAAATGTTGAGGCTGGGAGCAAGTCCTGTCAAGCTAGACTGCATTACCACCTTGAGTGTATACCATCTGCGGCAGGGAGTGAGTCCAGTGGGGAGGTTGTGGGCACCTCTCTAAAGGACTGTAATTCCCACTAGTAAGCACAAGAACCAGGAGTGGGGATGGGCCTGGTGGTGTGCGGTATAAGTATGGGCTGGAGGATGGAATCAGTGCATGTGTACAAGAGCTGAATGGGATGTGGGACAGACTGGACCAGTTCACTGCAGATGCTGGCAGGCACAGGAACCAGAGCTGGAAGCCAGTCCAATGAGAGTTATTGGGGCTTGCTGACCAGGCTTCAGCTCCCCCTGGTGTATATTAGGGCTGAGCGTGTGATGGGCAGGGTTGGGTTGGGCTGGGCCACAGCACCCATTGGGTTGCAGAGGAAGGAGGATAGAACAAATTGATAACTACTCCAGTAAAACTTGACAGTAAACTTCTGGGCAAATGGAGACTCTGAAGTGGATTATGTCAGTCATTGACCTTGGAACAACAATTATCAACAGCATTTCAAAACTACTGAATCCACTTGAAAAGAACCCTCCGAGTATGCTCCACAATGGGGATCCTGGCATGACATCAGCTACTGGGGAAGCTGGGCGTGGCCTCTCCCATTGCATCCTCTCCTCTCCCAGATACAGGAAGAAGAAAAAGAAAATATGTAAACAATGATCTTGCCCACTTTCCTCTGATCCTGGACCCTCTGAGCAACTGTGCAAACATCATCAAAAACAAATAAAATTATTAAAATGATAAAAAAAATGATGAGTATATTTCACAACATTTTTGGGTAAATGGAATTAAAAGATTTTAAAAAATTGAAATCCATTGCAATTTGTTCAACATACATGAATTTTTCAAAATACGAAATCCTGTCTTTTGCAACCAGTGATGCTACTGGGAATATTATGCTTACTCAAATCAGCCAGTCTCAACAACAAACATCCTGTTTTCTCTGATATTTAGGAGTTAATATGGAATGCCAAAGACAGCACAGGAATGGACATCCTGTTCTTACAGATTTGACTGCTTTTAGCCCATGTCTGAACTCCTTTGGAACTGTGATCTTTCCACTTTTTACTTGTTAAACATTGTGGTTAGTGGTTTAGCAAGTCTGTGATAACAGAGTGGAATGGAATTGTTTTTGGAAAAATTAAAGAAAAGGGTCCTGGTGCAGTAGCCTAGGGGCTAAGGTCCTCGTCTCGCACTCACCAGGATCCCATATGGGCACTGGTTCTAATCCCAGCAGCCCTGCTTCCCATCCAGCTCCCTGCTTGTGGCCTGGGAAAGCAGTCAAGGACGGCCCAAAGCCTTGGGGCCCTGCACCCACATGAGAGACCCAGAAGAGGCTCCAGGTTCCTGGTTTCGGATTGGCTCAGCTCTAGCCGTCGCAGCTACTTGGGGAGTGAATCATCAGATGGAAGATCTTCCTCTCTGTCTCTCCTCCTGTCTGCATATCTTTCAAAGAAAACGAAAAGGGGACAACTCTCTCTTTTAGTAGACAAAAAAGAAAGCAGGTATGAACAGAGAAAAGTAGCAGGTATGAAATAAACATACAAATGACATTACATAAAAACTGAAGCAACTGACTTGCAGGCAAGAACACTGATAGATGATAAAAATCAGTAATACACATATTATTTTGGCATATAATCTGCTTCTTAACTACAAAGGTTAAAACTAATTTAACAGCGGATAAATCTGGCAGGTATCACCGGAGTCAAGGTTACCATTAGCAGGGATAACACCATCATCTTGTAACCCCTGGAAACAATGACCATGTACCACAGATCCTGTGCTCTCCTGGCTGTTCAGCAGCATTTCAATGTAACATGAAAAAACATCACAGAAGCCAAATGTGGAGTTCTCTGCACAGCAACTGACCAGTATTCCTTAAAACTGCAAAACTGATAAGGGGGAAACACTGAGAAACTGTCACAGATTCAAGGAAGCAGAAGAAACAGAACAATTGAATGTAACATGGGATTTTGGATTGGATACCAGACAAACGATATCAGCCAAAATGCCAGCGAAACTGGAACAAGCCAATCAATAGCCGATAGTACTACATCAAAGTTGAAACAAGGGCTCTTAAAAAAAAAGAATCAGAGAATGTATGTTAGGGGGAAAATAATACACGGATTCTAATCATTTTTGTTTTCCAACAAAACAGAAGATGTATTTCTAACTTCACTTTCCGTGCACTTCCTGAAATCCCCTCATAGTTCTGACAATTGTACTATGATCACCTGTTAACATTAGGGGAAATTGGCTGAAAGGTCTCTGCACTGTTTTCAAATTACCTGTAAGTCAAATAATTTCAAAATACACAGTTCAACTGTAATACTGCAACCAAGTGGAGGAATCCGCCGTGGGGGGAGGGTCTGGGGAGGGGCTGGGGGAATCCCAGAGCCTATGAAACTGTGCCACAAAATGAAATGTAATTAATAAAAAAAAAAATACAAAGTTCAAAATAGGTACTGTTATCCAATCAATTAGCCTACCTGCAAACTTTAGAACTATTTTGCCTTTTGCCCTTTCATATCACTTCAATCTTTCCCACTTCTCTCAAATCTGTCTCCATTCTCTCTCCCTAGTTAAGTCCCTGTCATTTTCTTAAATCACTAAAGCACTCTCCTATTTGCTCTCCGGGTCTCCTTCATTCCTTCATTCCAGTTTTGTCAGTTTCCCGTTATTAAAATAGCACCCCAATTATGTTAACACTTCCACTCAAAAACTTCAAATGATAGGAGTCATCACAGTTGTTATCACAACTCTAAAATTCACAGGGGGGTGGCCATTTCGTCTTATGCTTGGGACGTTATTTAAGACATGGAGTCCCATATGGGAGTCCTCAGTTCGATGCCTAACTGCTGCTGCTGACTCTACTTTCCCACCAGTGCAGATTCTGAGAGGCAGCAGATGATGGTTCAAGCAGCTGAGTCCATGCTACTCGCGGTGGGAGACCTGGGCTGACTTCTCACCTCCCAGCTTGGCCCAGCCCTAATCATTACTGAGCATTTGGGGTGTAAACCAGTGGGTGATGGCTCTTTCTTTCTGTCTCTGTGTCTGCCTCCCTTTTCCACTGTGTGTTGAATAAACAAATTTAATTTCATAGGAAAATTCAAGGCACCCAAAATAACCAAAACCACCATGAAAAGAACAAGTAGAAGGAGTCACACTACCCGATTTCACACTACCTGAAAAGAAATGGGCAATTAGCCTAGTGGGTAAAGCACCTGTTAAGACACCCACGTGCCACATCAGAGAACCTGGGTTTGATTCCTGCCTTTAGCTCCTCATTCCAGCTTCCTGTGAAGGCAGCCCCTGGAAGGCAGCAGTGATGGCTCAAGTTATGGGGTTCCTGTCACCCCACCAGGAGAAATGAATTCAGTTTCGACCTCCCAGCTTCAGCAAAGACAGCCCAGTCCAAGCCACTGTATCCAAGCCACTGTATTTGGGCACTGAATCAGCAGACACAAGATCTCTGTCTCACTGCCTCTGAAATAATTCCTTTATTACAAAAAGAAAATCTATGTCTACATAACAATCCACACATAAATTTTCATATCATTATGTGCAAGTCAAAAGGAGAAACTGTCTAAATGCTCATTAAAGCACAGACGCATTACACAGACTACATCCAGACATGCACTACAATCTTATTTGGCCATAAAATGTACTACATTGTGAATGAATCTTACAATCATTATGCTAAGCGAGAAAAGCCAGTCAAACATGTCACAGATTATAATGACTCCATTTACATGAAATGTCCAGAACAGGCAAATCTATAGAGACAGAAGTCACATGAGCAGTTCCTTAGGGCTGGGGTGCAGAGAAAGGGCAGTTAGGGGGTGACAGGGTACACATTTTATGGACCTTCTTTTGGAGGTAATGCTAATGTTGTAAAGCTGTCTGTGCTGGTGCTTACACTTACCTGTGAACATATTAAAGACCACTCAATCGCACATTTTAAATGGGTGAACTAGATCACAATAAACCAGTTTGAAAAGTCCATAAATTTTCAATAGCTCCTGATTGCTTGGTTGAGTAAAGTCCATCCTCTTTAATTTGGCGTTCAAGTCCCTATATATCCTAATCATTGGACCTCCAACCTACATTATTCTTCACTAGTCCTATTCTTAAAAAAAAAAAAAAAAAAAAAAAAAAAGATGTATTCATTTTTATTGGAAAGGCAGATTTACAGAAAGAGGGAGAGACAGAAAGGTCTTCCATCTGCTGGTACACTCCACACATGGTCACAATGCCTAGAGCTGAACTGATCCAAAGCCAGGAGCCAGGAGCCTCTTCCAGGTCTCCCATGTGGATGCAGGGGCCCGAGGATTTGGGCCATTGTCTGATGCTTCCCCAGCCTCACAGGCAGAGAGCTGGATTAAAAGTAGGGCAGCCAGGACTTGAACTCGTTCCCATATGGGATTCTGGTGCTAACAGACGGAGAATTAGCCCGTTGAGCCACAGTGCTGGCCCCCAATAATCCCTTTATTGTGACCTTCTTGTCACCCAAGAAGAATTCACCGGTCCCCATGCATAGCTCTTCCAGGTGCCTCCCTTCGTCTTTTCTCTTACTATTCCTTCCATCTCAGATTCCCCCACCCTTCCTCCTCCCACAAACCTCCCCATGTTTATATCCTGCTTCTTTAAGTCCCATTTCAAATTCTCCTTCCTCTGCAAATCCCTCCCTGTTCTTGAATCCTTACTTTGCAGCTTGTCCAAACCTATTTACTAGGAAAATGAAGACAAGTAGTTGTCCTGCACAATGGTTGCCACTATCAGAAGGTAATTGTTCCAAATCCACAACTTTACATCTTCTTTTTTGATAGTTACAGCAGCAACATTTTGTTTCAACTCCCTTCCTAAGTCCCTAAGAACTATTGCAAACTGTTACTGCTTGCTTTTCCCAAAATCTTACCCTTGATGAAGAACTGACATATTATGGCAGGGCCGCCGAGTACAGTTGTATAGGTTGTGCACTGCACAACCCTAGTGGCGCCATTCAATTACAGTGTATGTGAATGGCACCCTCTCCTAGGGTTGTGCAGTGCATAGCCGTTCGTGGCAGCCCCGCATGGCAGCATCCCTTGAACTTGAGAGCGAAGCCGGAAAAAAAAAAACAAAAAAAGAAACAAAAGTACCTCAATAAAATAATCATTGCAATTATTATGCTGCTGTTGAAAATAAGACAAGCTCCAAAACTGTCAAGATTACAAAACAGACAAGAAACAAAAAAAAAAAAAAAGAGAGAAAAAGTGCTATTGATACATCTCTAACAATGGAGAGAGAAAAGGACACACATGGCAATCACACTACAAACATTTGATGCACACAGCCTACAAACCTACCTGACTTTTTCCTCATGGGCCCCTCAGTGCCAGCAGGTCGTGTTGAGTTAGCTCCAGAATCCTTGATATCAGATCAGATAAGCTTGATAGGCACAAATGTGCTCTCTATACAAGCTCACTCTCTCCCCACTGGCCTTTGTGATTTAGTCAGTCTTTTTTACAGTGCGGAGTTTGAATCAGCCCGTTAAAGATGCACATGACCAAGGTAAGTTCATACCAACCAGGCTTCAAATTCATCAGGTTAATCATCAGGTGAAGCCATTGCAGCCAGCCAACCAGCTCTCCATTCCCTGACACCTTTCACCTACAAACAGCAATGCGAGATCCCCCACAACAAACAGCCCGAAAGGGGTGGAGATGCTGGCTGTGATCACAGGTGACTGGCGGTAGAGTATGCCAGGCATTGGGTGGGTTTTTTCTTTTATTCTCTACTCTGGCTTAGTGTCCCTGCACTGAACTTTCATATTCCCTCTAGCTGGCACTTCCTCCATCTCCAAAGAGCTCCTGGACAACTCATTCCAACTGATCTCATTCCTCCGCTGAACTTCATTGGTACTTACTGGTACAGTACGTAATCACTTAGTCTCGTGCTATTGTTAATAAGAACAACAGTTTTGGCAGCATCCGTTCTTTATTAAATGGTCAGCTTAGTATGTGCCTGGCATTAGTCTCCATCTTACATGTCTTTTATCTATTGATCACAGCAATCCCATTACATTAGTAATACTCTTTCCCACCCTCTTGTTGACATATGAGAAAACCAAGCTACAGGATAATTAGGGCACACAACAAGAGGCCTCAAATGCATCCTTCGGAATTCATGGGAGATTGGTTCTAGGAACCACCTCCCCCACCCCAACCCAGCTATCAAATCTACAGATGCCCATCCCTTGCACAGTGATACATCATTTGCATATAACCTGTATACATCCTCCTTATGCTATGAATCACCTCTAGGCTTATTACAGGTAACACAACATATATGCCATGTAAACAGTTGTTACGCTGTATTACACAAAGAATAATGAAGTCTTCACCCATTCAATACAGACACCATTTTTTCTAAACATCAGGAATCTGAAGCTAATTGTCCTTTCATCTCCACCATGACATCATCTCTCTTTGGAGGGGTTCCCTCTGCCCCATCCTGCAGAGAACCTACCACAGGGTCAGACAAAATGGTTGTCCAGGATGCACCTGCTTGACCCCTAGGCAACTCAGCCCAGGAAACAAATTGGGAGAGATAAGAAGAGGGTGCATGGAGCACAAAGAGGCTTGACCTTTCAGGAAACCATGGGAGTCCTCCTACTCTGACCTATTTCAGGGAGGATCATGCGGCTGCCTTGACCTCAATCCCAGAAAAATATTTAGAACAGGATGACCTGTTTGCCTTGAAACTCTTCAAGAAAAGTCTGAAGTAACAGAGCCTCGGCCAGCTGGCAGGAGGGATGGATAGTGTCCAGTTTCCTGCAGTTATGTTCAGGTCACAGCCACATGGGCCAGCTCATGTGAGCAGGGCTCTGTCATCAAAGAATTAACTACATGACAGTGGCCTGACTTGGTGTTGGGGAGTGGAGACAGGTTGGACCTCATTTTTCTTGACTTTTAAACTAGGATTAAAAATGCCTACCACTTATCCCTAGGGTATAAATGAGAACATAATAAACAATGCACCCATCAGCTAGCTGCACAGGTTTGTGCCTCTGGGGTGTCCAGGCATTCAAACAGGTGCCAGAAGCTCACTGCCTGGCTGACAAATTCATCCGACCTGAAGTACAGCACCTACTGACAATGACAGAGTTGGTTCCAGAGTGCCCCTACCTGTTAGCAGGTCACTTCTTGAGATGACATTCCCAGTAGGAAATAAGGCGGGAACTGCTTTCAAAGGTAAGGGTCTGGAGCTATGTCTTTGCTTCCAGGTCTTTGCTGCTCACCACCCACCCACACTACCAAACTTAAAAAACAGTGGAAGGGAACTCTGTCGATCACCATTCTGGTAATGATGCACACACATTCCATTCTTTTCCTTCACAATAGTCTCACCATTTCTTCTTTATCCACAGCATAGTGCTGTTTTTGTGAAATGTCTATGGCTTATCTCAGATCCTGGGATATTCAAGATGCTCACCAGACACATACTGAAAAAATAAGTGCAACAGATGTTTCTGTGGTCTAGAGGGAGACTTGGTTATTAAATCAAAGTAACTTCAAAGGACTCATTTATGCACAGAGGATCTCTCAAGACAGATAAGGGTGACAGTTCAAAGGAATCACACATAAATATACCAGATAGACTGGATCTGCTACATTAAAAGCCTGCAACAACAAACTCCAAAGGAAGGAAGTGAAATACTGGAGGAAAGGGCAAGGAGATTACATCCTTTTATGACTGAAAATTCAAGAATCAGCGGTCCTAAAGAATGAGCTTTATCAATGCGTACTAACACAGAAAGATGGCAAAGGCATTAAGGGAAAAATCAAGGACAAACACTGTGGAGTGCTCTTGGTTTTCAGAAGAGAGCTATAAAATATTTAGCATACATAAAGATACAAATCTGAAAGACAAGCTCACATTGGCTGTCTCTGCGAGACTGGCTCCTTGATGACTTTTATGTACTATGTATGGGAATTCTATAATGTTTCAGGTTCATGTGTTGCTTCTATGGATTGTTGCTACTGTTGCTGAGCATGTATTATTTCTATGCTAAGGAAAAACTATCAAAAGGCAATTTCTCACACACACACAAATACTACTAGTGCTAATCTCCCAGGACAAAAGCAAGCAGCTGGTTGGAAATCAGGGCAGGTTGGAAAACCTGGAAAGTTGTGTTGGAATCACACCCAAGAAAGTGAAACTGCAAGCTCTTTTACACAAAGAACTCTTTAAGCAACTTCAAAGATTAATTTTAATGCAAGATTGCCTTGAACCACTGTTGCAGCCTAAATGGCCTGCCAGCTGGATAACTGTTTTCCCTTCTTCTTTTTTTCTTTTTTTTTTTTTTAAGGCAAGTATCTGTATGCAACAGTAATGACAGGTCACATCAGAACCCTTTAACTTTGCACTCTTTACAAGTCCTGTCTTCTAGGCAGTGAAAACTAAGGTCTAGAATAGTTGATCAGGACTGTCATGGTGGTGTAACCAGTTAAGCTGCTACCTATAATACCAATATCCTATGTGGGTATCAGTTAAAGACCCAGCTGCTCTACCTCCAATCCAGCTCCTGGAAAAGTAACAGTAGATGGCCCAAGTGCTTAGGCCTCTACACTCACATGGGAAATCCAGATGAAGATCTTGGTTCCCAGGTTCCACTGGCCCAGCACCAAGCTTTGTGGCCTTCTGGAAACTGAACAAGTAAATACAAGATTCTCTTTTACTCCCTCTTTCCCTTTCCACTCTGCATTTCAGATTTTTTAAATTGTTTAAAACAGATCTGAAAAAAGAAAAGTTGGCTGTGTTTCCCTTACTTGTCTCACACAGTCCAGAAATCAGACACTTGGCTTTTCTGTAGAACTCAGTTGTTCTAAATCCTGAATGCATCTTAGAACTACCCATGCAGTTTATTTTAAAGCAAACACCAATCTCTGGGGTCTACTCTTCAAGCTCCTTCCTCACTTGCTTGAGCCTGGGTTTCAAAATTTCGAAATGCCCCAGGTGACTTCGACGAACAGCCAGGTTTACAAATCAGTGATCTAGCCATTGCTCAATTCAGCCATTTCCTTAGAGAAAAAGATCCAGTTCTCCAGTTTTCAGACCCTTAAGGCAGTATATCTGGCTCAAAGAAAGTCAAGCCAGAAAAGTCTGTAACCAAGACAACAAGTTGTAAGCACAAAGAGATGGGTCTTCTGTGATT